TCGTGGACCATTCCTATGAATGATTCAACTGCGGAATTGGTCGCCCTAGTCGTAGCTGAATGCTGACATGCGCAACATCCGAGACAGCCTTCAAAACCTCTTTCTCTGCTTCCTCTGCTATTTCCATTGCATTTCTGTGTATAAATGAACATAAACTACCATGAGACAGCCACATTTATATAATACTTACCAATAGGACGTCAAACTCAGACAATGAACTTCACCGAATTTGCAAATCAGGGGGCATGGAAACCTCAATTTGAAGAACAATTTTTCCTTGAAATGAGTGCCGCGTTACCCGTTCGACTGACATCTGAAACCACTGATAGATGGTTTACATCATTCATGAAGTCAACCAAACCTGTTTTCACATGAAAATATTACCTGTACGAAGTTTGATGAGATGATGCCAGAAACAATCTTATCAATATTATCATGTCCAGTACGAATGATGCAGTTTTGATCCATATCTTGGCTCCAAGTATCTTGCTGATCTGCGGGATCTACAAAGGCATATAAAATTCAAACTGAGAGTTGATAGATGCAAAAACACAAAACGACACAACCTCCACTTCAAAAAAGTGAACTAGAAAGAGCATATGATTAATGATTCTTGTTTAAAAAAAAGATATATGTATGACTGGCAAGAATACCTATGTGTATGAAAATTTCAGCCACTGTCAGATGGGACTTGTGTATATGACGACGGACATTTTCCCCAATGTCATGTGCAGCACTCACACTAGAGAAAGGATCAACCTGCAGGGAAAGACTGAGAAATTAACTCTGAGAAACAATAATAATTTAGTCACTCGGTGAAAAATAATCCATGTCACACAGAACATAGAAAGATGAAATAACCTCAATATTCACATCAAGGTATAAAGATGAACCAGCTCTCCTTCCTCTCAAGCGATAGCACCCCTGTGCAGAAACTCAACTAAAAAAAATTGACAACGGAAAACAAAACACATGCAGAGTCCAAGATGCCAAAACCAAAGTAAAGACTAAATCAGAAATTGAACCAATAGCAGCGTGTCATAAAAGGGACGAAAGAAAAACCTTGACACCTTCAACTTGCAGTATTGTTTGTTTAATAGGATCCAATTGTTGTGATGGAATTGCAGCATCCACCAGTTCCATGAGGCTAAAAATTAATAAAAAATGTGTTAAAAAGAGCCAATGATTGTGCTTAGTCACGGTTATAAATATTTCAAGATGAGGAAAATTTTCTTTCAACCACAATGCTTTAGCCAGCATAAAATTAGCTCCAGCGGTCACAGAATCAGGTCGCCTTGGAGGGTCAGTGGCAAGTGACAATATATTATGGCTACTTAAGATTCCAACATGCATCTGACATGGATACATCAGGGTGAACATAAAAGGTGGTATAACCAAAACAATAATTGGTTAAACTCTTACAAATCAAGCGCATTACAAGCAATAATAATGAGTTCAGGTGAAATAGAAAAACAGAAAGGTACCCCTTTTTATTTTTCAAATAACAAGATGGATCAGTCTATAATGTTACCTTTGGTAACCAGTTTCAGCTCCAGCTTTTAGAATCATGCCAGAGACAAGAAGTCCTGCAAGCGGATCTAGAAACTTCACACCAAGGATGGAGCCTCCTGACAAGGAGATGAACAATTATGATCAAAGAATGTAAATGAGACACAAAAGAATCAGGTAATCTGGGAAAAATATTGAGCAATATATAGAGTCACATTGCATAAAGGCATATCCTATAGCCAGCAGCCATATTACAATGACAGCATAAAGATACAGAAAATTTAACAACACCCACACTTCTCTTACATGGAATATAAGGACAGAGTTTTCAGATAAAAGTCAAGTCATGGTTCAACATGTATTAGAAATTTGTATCATATCAAATCATACTAAATAACCAAACTAAGCCATATTTCAAAAGATATGTCCCTTACCAACTCCAATGAGAGCAACTACAGATGAAATTGCATCCACACGATGATGCCATGCATTTGCTTTCATCAGTCCACTACCTTGCCTTTCACCAACTCGCTTTGTTGCCCAGTAAAGCCTGGAGATTAGAAACACATGTAAAAAAACAGAAGCCTTCAAGATTGAACTATATTCTAATTATCTCCGTGTGTGTGCGTGTGCACAAAAAAGAAAAGAGAAGATAGAATGAGGAACTTGAAGTGCACGTGCCACTACTAGTTCAGAGAGGAGTTTAAAGTGTATCCTATGTTGATAGAAACTGAATGAAAAGCAAAAATACAAGGCAAAGAGGTTCAAATCAAGCATCTGCCAAATAATGAAGTCCCACAGAAAGCAGAAAACTTGTGCTAACATGAAAGGTTTCTTATTTACAGATTGTCCTCTTATCTTCCCTCTTTGATTGATTACTTCAAGGTTGAAGCTTTTCAAGATTCAAGACTATTTTTGCTTTGTCAGCTCATATGCCATATTATCATTCTTCAGACTCAGTCTTGATATACGGTCTCGTAAAAGTTCTTATTTTCTAACAGTTTTGACTTAATCTTCCATCTTGTCCTTTGTCTAACTCTCTCTCCCAACACCTTCTGCTCCCCTCTTGCCCCACAAAAAAATGAGCAATTGCAGTACCCTTCTTTAATACATATAGACACAATAGTCATATTCAGAGCTAGAACAGGGTGATCCATGTCCATTCCATGATGATATCCATCATACTGGTGGCTATGCAAATGCTCATGTGCCAATAACTGGTTAACCATTTCAGGATCAGAGGAGTACAATCCCTGCACATGAATAAAACATAAATGTCTTTTAAGACCCAAAAGACATGACAGAAAGATCTTGACTAACCTGTAGTCTGAAAAAATAAACATTCAAACTTCATTCTTTCTTTTGATAAATTTTATACAAATTATTTTGTTCATGGGAATAAGTGAAACAATAATTAGATTGAAGATGAAATTCCAGGCTGTACCAGCAGGATATCTACAGCATGCCATGCAATGCCACCACCAGTCGCCAAAAGCATACAAGAGATTCCAAGAGCTCCAAGAGTCTCAAACTTACCATGTCCTGAGATATGATGAGGGGAAAAAATGAGTATAAAATACATAGAAGGCTTGTAAACAGAATAGGTTCTAATTAAACCTAGTAACATGTACACGAATGACAATCATGCCTCTAATCTCATTAATAAGACGAGAGACAATATGTTATCAGCCTTCGTTCTCATGATAGTCATTGTATTCATTTGAAGAAAATATTCATTATCATGTTCAAATTATTCCACCAATGAAATGTTAAGTTCCACAACAACATATTAGAGACATTATGTTCATAAAAAGAGAGATAAATCGAGTAGCGTGGAGATACAAAACCAGAAGTGACCATATGGGTGTTCGTTGTCTTTAGGCGCCTTGGCAACTTTGAAAGACCACAAAGATACGCCACTTAGAACCTGTGGCATACAAGAAAGACGTTAAAGCAGGGAATTGGATAAGATACATCATATTGAACAAATGCTAGTTACATAATTGAATAAAATCTCGCGCGCGCGCGCGCTAGCAATGAAGATACCACATCAGATATGGAATGAGCAGCATCAGCGATTATGGCAGTACTTCCAGAAAGATAACCGACCAAGGCCTTTCCGGTGGCTAAACCAATGTCAGCGGCTAGACCCAACCTGAAAATGTTCTCTCCTTCCTTTTGAAGGAGGAGGTGCTGATGTTCATGATCATCATAAGAATGTCCCATATGCCATCTCTTTGAAATTTTGAATACAGGATGGTCAGAGGATAACAAGGACGACTCTAATTGATGAAAATTCGACGAAACAAACAAGGGAGGCAGAACTTTCTCGGAAGAGCGTGATGAGAACTTTGTGATGCAGCTTCTACATAAGGGATTGAGATTGCTGAATCTAAATCCCATGGATGATTTACACTGGGCACTGGTCTGGAAGGGTTTGCTCTTATTTTAGCTCACGCTTCTTGCAGTTGCAGTGAAGAGGACGATCTAGCATCCGCCGATGCAGATGGCATGCCACGTGCTCTGAGAATATTTTCAATTACTTTTCTTAATGAATATGTTCTCTATTTATTAAATTAATAATAATAATAATAATAATAATAATAACAACATATCTGTATAAATTTGCTATATTCTCATTAATTTAAAAATCATATATTCGTCACATTCCAATTAAAAAATGACAAGATGTAAAAAAATAAATATAAACCTTTAAAAAAAATAAACAATTTAAATCCTTTGTTATTTGTGCGGGTGGAACAGGAAGGTTTTGAACGTATATTAACATTATAGCATATAACATTCATTTGAACAACAATAACGAATCTTATCTTATTATGTAAAATTGGCTATGTGAATTATACATTGCAATTGTACTCTATTATTTTCAAACTTCTAAAAATGTTAATTAAAAAATTTTAATCAACAACTCTCATAAGTATTTTTTTTAATTTTTTTCCACCCTTCTTAACAGAATTTAAAATTACCTATCTTACTCTTCTTGCTAGTGTTTTCCACAATTTTTTTTATACATGTTTAAACCATTTCAAATGATATTATACCATTTTTTCCTCAAAAAAATTATACAAGATACTGCCCTTCAAAATAATATTTTATTAATGTTCAAGCTGTCTACAGATTACTATAATAGCTTTTTGAATAATTTGACAAACTCATTCATCTAATAAATTTTCCATATTCAAAACCTATGATGTGCTAAATTCAATTTTTTATAAGCAGCTTTGTTCACTTCCATTGCTAATACTATTTGGTTTGATCTATTGGAGAAACCTTGTGTACTCTCAATACTCTGCACCTTAACAGAACTTCTAATTCACCGTTAGCTGTTTAACTGTGGTATTTTACCAGTAAAACACTCAGCCTATAGAGCTGAAGAAAAGGAAGAAATAATTCTTTGGAGGAAAAAGATTTGCTTTGCGAGACTTCAGATCATTTTCATATTTTGCAATGCAAAGTCAAGACACTGCAGATAAAGCTGTTGCAATAGCTGTAATGTCAAGGTCATCTTATGCCCCAATTATCCAGATTAATGTCAATTATCATTTCAATCAGAATCCATCTCTGTACATGTGAAAATTGCCCTGTGAGGTAATCAATCCACCACACCAAATCAAGATGAATACAAAGGTCATCGCCTTTGTTCATGCCACTTCCTGCTTCCCTGTCTACCAGGATCCCAGTAACCAGAAGAACCCCGATGTCTTGACCATTCAGGCCTATAATCCCTCCCAGGGTTCATTCTCGATTCAGGGAAACTTCTTCCCCGAATATGCCCGTTATTTCTACTTGGGCTATTCTCTGGACTCCATGATTCAAATTCTCCTCCTCCATAATCATTTTGCTCCCAAGAAGAACCGGATCGCTTGGATCTTTCAACCGATGCCTTGTAAGTGTTTTGATTTAGTAGAGAATGATGACTGGAAGATATATCCTGCCTAAGTCTCCAAGACTCTGATGCATGACCTTGTCTTTCCATTGAAGGAGGAGGGTGGGAATGTAGAGGGTTATGAGAGGAAGGCTCATAAAAATGGGACTGCTGCAATAAATGGGCATGCCTTTGTAGGGGTGTGACTGAACTTGTTAGCGTTGGAGTCAGCGTTGGAGATGGCAGCTCATACGATTGCAGATGTGAATTAGACAATCCCTCTTGTATTCTCAAATTAGCTATTGGTTTTACATTACTACCGATACTGGTGCTATCTACCCGCATTGCTAAAGATGAGTGTGCAGTGGATAAGTTAACAGACGATGCACACGCAGGGATTTTGTCGCTCATCATGGTACTTAAACCTATGTTTGATGATAGCATTTGTGCTGTTGGAGAATTGGTTAGCAGATTTGGATGCACAGAGGAAAGAGCAGAAACAACATTAGGTGCTTGAGACAGCGAATCAGTTTGATGCTGTCGTACTGCGACGGCAGCGGCTGCTGGAACCTGAGGCAATACCATGTTGCTTACAGCTGCTGGAAAGCTGATACCTCGGTCAGGCACTGAGGTGTGGCGTGAAAAAGGATTCTTTGCAACTTCCGCCGTCCATCCACTCTGAAAAGTCCATAAATGGAAAGCATCAGTTCATGCAACAAATCGATTTTTTTTTTTTTCGACATTTGGTAGTGATTTAAAAATTTTAGCAGGGTGACTGCTAAAGAGTAAAGATTAAACAGCGAAGGGCCCTTGTAACCCGGTTACCTCCTTGCCTTGCCAGGGAAGTCCAAAACTCAAAATTTCTCCAAGGGAACCCGATTGTAATTATTACTGAGAAAAATTGAGATTAAATGTAATGACCAAATAGTCTTCTTGAAATACAAGGCTTTCACGTGACTATATACTTTTTTCAACTTTTTTTTTTTTTGTTGGGGGGGGGGGGGAAGGACTTGACCGTTCACCAATCTCCGATGGGGAATGTTGGCGCTCATTCGGGCTCTCAGTTCATACCACCACTGGACCAGAAACCCATTCCCGACAACCACATTTGAAAAAATTAGTAACAGTAACACAAGATGTTAGTGTCAGATAGAGCGGGCCCTACGTTACATCCGCTCCTCGCTCTTAAGGGTACACAGAAGCCGACATGGCTGAAGTTAGTTGATTCCAAGAGACATCGACAAGACCGTTGATAAATAGTTGCAGAAAGAAATCTCAAATCACGCACCGTTCTTGGATCGTTAGAGGGAGTTGGAGAAGGAAGTGAAACTTCCACGTTCTCCTGCGCCTTTCCACCAATGTTGCCATTTGTATTGTCAGCCAAAGGGACACTACCTTTTTTTATCATGTCAAGCAGCTTTACGGTTTCCTCACTCGGTATGCTAGCAGCTTGTCCAGAAGTCAAGGCAAACACCAACTCGGGGTTTTTAAGAAGTACAGCAAGCAGCTCCAGATCAGGTTCTGCAACGTTGGAATTAGTGTTTGAAGATGAAGGGGTCGTCACTTGAATACCTTGATTGGCAGGAGCTGGTGTTTCTGCACCATCAACATCAGGAAGCTGTTCAATAGGGACTGTTGGGGTCAGCGTGTCATCGTAGTCCATTTCAAGGTCCCATGGCTCGTTGGGGTTTGATGGTATCTCCTGGATAGTCTGATAAATTGTCTCCACCCCCCTCCGATTTCTACTTTTCTGAACATCAACCTCTTTGCTGTTTTCACCAGCACCAACTCTCCATGTACCGTTAAGTTTCATTTCTGCAGAAAAGGAAAGGAAAAAAAGACTGAAAACCGCATAAAATTGTGATTCAACATTTAATCAAATTACAAGAACCACCAGAAACCAATGCAAAAATGTGATTCATTACAGCAATCCAATTACTTCAGGATTCCTTCAGAAACTATATTTGGGAGTTGGGACAATAGGCAGGAATAGTAAAATAGCATACTGTGCGGGATTTTCCTGAAATGGATGGAAACTTTTCGATAACTAGTTTCCTGGTAAACACCCGAAGTTAGATAACGTATCTCCAGATCATTGCTCATTCCTTTCAAATTGGAAGGTTTACCGATTCCATAACAAAGATAATCATTTAGAGCCAAAACCCGAGTAGAAGAAAGAATGACATTGATTTAAGAAAAGTGGAGAAAAGAACGAGGGAAGACAACGTTACTTGCTTTATGTAATCTCTGAATCTTAAACCTTAAAAAATATTGTCATATGCGCTAAGGAATGCTAAGGTCGGAAACTTATGGTTATGGAACTCCAGTTCATCACGTGTTATAGTTTATAAAGTCCATTGGTGCAGATTACTGTGCACAACTTAGGCCGCATTGTAGGGTAAATCACGCTCTGTAGCTGCCATACAAACTCCCAAAATCTGAAACCAAGGATTAAAAAAGAAAACGAATACTGCACCCAGATACATGACCATGTTTGGAAATTACAACATAAAACCGCCACTTCCAATGGTACATGCTGGGACCTGGAATTCTACATGGAGAAGACAACCCATATTGATTCCAAAATCAGAGCTTCAGCTCGTTTTAGCTCATTCATGCCAACAAACTGAGGTGATATTATTAAGTACAATTGCTGATTATTCAAAAATTTTAGAGCCAATAAATTCCTCATCCTCAATCTCCGAATTAATAACTAGAGTTTTTTGCCATCAATCAATAATTGGAGTTTAAGAGGCCAGATGGAAGAAGATAAATTCAACTATTAGAAGTTCAGAATATTCTTATGATTACTCACTCTGATCCATGAGAGAGGGTGCAACGATAAAACCCGGTGAAACAATTTTAAAAAAAGAAAATCAAAATTTATCATCATCTTTCATTTGGGCAGTCTCACCTCAGTACTCTGTCAACAATTAAGGCAGCAATAACTCATGTATTAATGATCCCTGGGAAGCTACGAACTCCCCTGTTGATTTGCTCATTTTAGAAGGAATGTGGTGACATGGAATAAAACTTGCCAAACTCATCACCCTTTAAGTCCCTTTTGGGGATATGTACTTGGGAAAGGTTTACAGGGATAGAAGGCATCTGATTACCACGAACATGCCATCATTCACAAGCAATTAAAATGGTAATATTTATTGCTTCAAAATCAGGATAAAAATGAACTTCATAATGTAATAAACTGATCTTCGCCTTCGCCCTCATCCCATCCACTTACAGTAGATTGGAAAATTCAACCCAGCAAATCGTCAAATGAGATGGTTTGAAGCCCATATTAGAGCTGTTACACCATTTGACAAGATTTTGCAAACATGGCATGAGAAACAGGTTCGGTAACAAAATAAATTTTAACCACTGGATGATGTTTGCCGAAAACAGATGACCCTCAAATTCTCAAACGAGAATCCTAGCATTTGAGATTAGCAAAGACATAGAACAGATTTGAATAACAATCTTTTTATTGATTTTTAGATTATAAAAAATGATAGTATATACAATTGCCCAATACCCCCAAGTTACTTACAGAGCAAGTGTATAGACCCACCACTTTAATTCTGTTTATATAAAGCCAAAAAAACTATTTACAGAAGGTAAAGCTGCAAAGAAGCATCTGAAGCATCCTCCAAGAAAATTTGCGCAGATTCAATTATGGTATATCTCTCCCAACCCAACATCAGGAAACCTCCTAGTACGGGCTGCTCTCTTTTCCCCCCTTTTCTTAGTAAGATATTTGACTGTCAAAGATTCACCAAATTTTTTCTATGCTAATATTATAGTCAGATTATGGATGGAACCAACAAAAGTTGCATATGTACCTGCTGGTGTCTTCCACAGGATTTGCACCTGCTTGCACTTCTCCCAGAAAGATTCCTTCAAATCCATTCTCAAATATGATTCCAAAGAAGCATCCTTCATATTAGAAGTTTTAGAAGGAAGCAACAGAGGTTTGCTGTCTTCATCAGTTTTGGTTGATACAGGAACTTTAGACGAGGAAGACCCAAGACCACCCTGATTTGTCTGAGGTTTATTCAGGCCATCAGTCTTTGCTTCTTTACTTCCTTTAGATGAACCAGGTTTCCCATATTTGCTTTGCATAAATAAAGCGCGCAGTTTTGCTTTCTGGATATCATCAGCAGACATGGGGCGACCTAGACTTACAGGCCCTACTCTTACAGCTTGTGGACTTCTGCTCACTGTCTTTTGGCCTGGCTGCTCCACTAACTGCACTTTTCGGCGCTCCCTAGTCTCTGATCAGTTGTCAAGGAAGATAAAGAAAAATATAGCAACTTCACAAGTTGAGGGAACCAGTAGCTATCATGAAACCTTTTTTTTTTTTTTTTACTTTTTTGAGCCAGCTAGTTTTAACTAAGTTGCAGCAGAGATTTGCTCTTCAAAGAGATATGGCAATAGAAAGAATGGCTCCTTCCACAAATATTTATTTTCATTCCTTCTCGCCCAGTCTTATCAGGGTGCTTTGTGACTACGTGCATCTTTTTTTTTTTTTCGGCTAGAGGGATGTTATGGAGCCCATTGCATGGGTACACAAGTATATTCAAAATTAATAACGTACAGAATAATATCTTCACGAGCAGCATTTTTGTCTCCAACATAATACCATCTCAACCCACACATACAATTTCAAGAAGCTTGAAACAAACGTCCAAAAGCCCACTGATTTCTGGACATGTTATATGATACAAAACGGACTCATAATCCAAGATTTCAAGGCTTATAAATAGTTGAAAAGATAGACCTTAACCAAAATAACATGGAAATGGACAGAAATGAGAGTACAGCCAATCATTTCTACAAGGACAGTTTTTACAATGCAGCAAAGATTTATCAAAGACTAGATATCGAAATTCCAAGCCAATGCAAAAACTGAGATATCAAAACTTCAATTATCATCACAACAACTACTATGCTTGCATTTAAGGGCCAGCCAATAATTTCTCCATTGTTTTAATATAAAAAGTTTTGTTATCTACAACATTTTATTTGCAGCAAGTAACACTATTCTTTGTAGATTGCAAATCCATCAGCATTCTTTCAAACTTAGAAAGGGAACAGGTAACAAGATGGAATCAATTCAATAAAATCCTCCAAGGATACGAGACAGTGATACACCTAGGACAGACTTCTTAGGAGAATCGTCCAAAGATGCAGTCAATAATTTCACAGTTTGTGGAGCTTCAGATTTCCTGGGTAGAAAAAAAAGGAGGCAAGCTTTTTCAGAACTAGTCAATCAATTCATAGATATAGCCAAAGACACGTAATCTACATACCTGAAATCATCTGAACCTTCATTTGAAAGGGCAAGAACGTCCTCCTAAGAGCAATAAAGGAATGTTAAGACTGAAAAACGATCACCAGCTGCCAGAAACATGTTTAAGAAAACCTAGAAAACACTCACAGGAATACCGACATTTGAATTCCAGGATCCAGTGCCCATAATTTGATGAACCCTGAGACAATAAAATTATAATTTATAATATTATAATATTATAAGAGGGTGGGGAAAGTCATACAAAAAGCATGACAAAGGAGAAAAAGATATTCACTTGCCTCTGACCAACCATCTCCCTTTGAGCCTCACTACCAGGTTTAACACCTGTGGTTTTCTTTATTGCTTGGTTCTTCGCTAATAATTTGCTCCACTTTGATAGCAAAACACGGGCACTGTTTGATATGTCTGATCTTCAAATCAAAGAGATTAATTATCACAAGGTCAATTGAGTCAACAAATACTACCCCAAAACACATTTGCGAAAGATGCAATCACGATCTCAAAAAACATTAGGTTAAGTGACATGAAATATCATTCCTTCAAATTCAAGATTTTATAACTGCTTGACAACCCAAACAGATAGTGATTAATTAAATATCACAGCAGTAAACCTTAATATAACTTCTAAAGCTCAAATACAGAGTTTGACACCTCTAACCTTCTATAATTTTTGGAGTATAATGAAGTTATCTATAAAAAGAGGAAAAAACAAATTAGGATGTGCAGCATGAATATGTAGTTAATAAACTATTTTAAAAAACAGATAGTTATGGTAGCTAATCAAACAATGCAGGAGGCTCACATGGGAAAACAGAATACCAATAAAACATAAAAAATGGACTCAATTCCAGGTTATAATTTATCATGAATGGAATTCTGAAATTTCAGGTTATGCCAGACACTATCCCCACCCAATCCTCCCATTCTTTACTCTCTACACCCTCGGTTAATCCCACAAGCCTCTTATCCATTCTCATTTGACCACAGAAAGGGAGCAAACCAAAAATACTCATACTGGGTTTAAACATAATCAAACTCAAAATAGGGATAACAACATATTCAATTTGCTATGACATAGCTTTCCTCTACAGTCATTACCTATGACTTACATAACACCAGCATCCAGTTTCTAGAAGTCTAAGAATAATATAAATCCAAACTGTGGTACAACCAGCCATTCAGGAACAGAGGAGAGCTTAAAAATTAAAACACAGGAGGGATGGGAGTTAAAGCGCAATTGCACTAAGGGAGGAAAAGCACAATGGCATAATAAAATCTACATAGCCGACCCCACTTAGTGTGATAAGGCTTGCTGTTGTTGTTGTACTAAGGGAGGAAAAGCACACCTGGTGTTCTGTGAAACCGAAGTCTATTAACACACTGCAATATAGCTGAAATGTGCGTAGGAAGGGCTTTGTGTAGAGGCAAATGACAAAGGACCTGAAAACCAGTTAACCAGCATCTTGGATATAGTTACAAAGCTGAACGCATGCACTGCACATTAACTACGGTTATTCAGTCATCCAGATTTACCTTTAAAATAAGAAGAAGGACACTTGTTTGCTCTTCAACAGCTGCTTCATTCAACCATGCTGCTAAAATCATCACTCCTCCACAGTCTAAAAACCTAAAAGAATACACCAGGAAAACTAAGCCAAAACAGAAAGATGACAATTCAACAGATTACAAGCTAAAGAGGGGGCAGTAAAGTACCAAATTAGTACTAGAGCATCCTGTATCTTCAATATCCACTCCAACAATTTCACCTGCCCTGAAAATGTCTCCTCTTTCCGCATTAGACTAAAGATATTATCAACAAAATGTTTCTCTGAGCTGTTTAGGCCAGAAAATGAAGCCTCCAGTGTTGAACAAGATGCTTCATCTGCACTGATGGGACCAGCAGAGTTTAAGGGAGCTGGATTAATTGGTATCATGGAATCAGAGTTTACTGGGAAGCCATCACAAGGTTCTTCAGAGTAGTTAGATCTTAACACCCTTTCCCTTGACAATCGTACTTGTCTTCTCACTCTTGAGCGTTGAATATTGAAAAATTCACGAACCTATTACCAAAGTGCAAACGGAGCCTTATAAAAATCAAAGCAAAACAGGCGTTCAAATTGAATGTTGGGAGAATGTCAATGAAGGACCTAGGAAATAATTTAATATCAGACAAGGATTTCTAACAAGTAAACATTAACAAGTGACGTTCAAATTTTAACAAGTAGCTAATCTATCCAAATCATTTTTTGATATTAAATAGTTTCTGCAGTTCTTCATTGATATTCTCCATTAAATGTTCCCCCTTCAAAATTAAGCTAATCTATCCAAATCCTTTTTTGATATTAAATAGTTTCTGCGGTTCTTCATTGATATTCTCCATTAAATGTTTTCCCTTCAAAATTAAAGGTTAGGAAATTTAAAGCATATGACAAACTAAAAAAGAGTAGTAATGATATGTGCATACAACATCTAGATTATACAGATAATTTTATAAGGAATAAAACAGGGAAGAAGGAGATGGCAGGGGAGGGAGGGAAAGGGAAATATTCAATCAGGAAGCGAAGCAAGCTTAACCTGTGTCACTGTGACACCAAATAAAGCACTGATCTCACGAGATTCTTTCTTACTGATTGCATCTTTAATGGAGAAAACTAATTGCATGTAGTTTATAGCTTTTGGATTTAACAAATCCCTAGGTCTTTTTCCTGCAAAAATGGATTCAGCTAGATGCATCAGACATGAAATAAACAGAAACAAACAACATAAAGTTTTTTAGCAACCACAAAGTTGCAGCTTCACCCAAGGTGTACCCAGAGCGTTAAATAAAGGCAGGCATATTAAGATACAGCATAAGCACAAACGTCCTGTTTCAATAAAATTGTTATTTTGGACAGAAAGTAAAAATTAAACCTATATTAGATAGTTATTAAGCAATGATGATGACACGGGCATTTCAAATAGATAGCATGTAAAATTTAGCAGTTTAGAAGTTCCATTGAAAGTATTGAAAACACCGATTGACTTTGATATGAAAGAAGATAATGAGGTTGAATACCTATATTAGTTATGAGTTTCACTCAATTTTCAAATTGATCTCTATAGTTTATAAGCTTATAATTAGGTCACCCATAGTCTTAAAAAGTTTAATTAGGTCTCCATAATTAAACTCCCCTCCACATACAGCTACATTGCACTCAATGGGCCAAATTATATGCCATTTTCACATTTTGAAAACGCATTATTCATGACAACAAAATGAATAGGGTGAAATCCACTCACATGCATGGTGTGTGACGCCCTTTCGGTTAATGATTTGATGAGATAATGTGAATCATGCACAATAAGGTCAGAAATAGACATGGTTGAGGAAGCACATAGTTAATGGCCATAAGCAGTTGTAAAACATTTTAAAATATAAAAAGCCAATGCAAAACTTTTAAACTAAGTGAAACTTTGGGAACGAGCGGAATAATTCAGGGAAATTAACACTATCAAGGGGCCTGGAAAATGAACAAAGCATCTTCAAACAAGCCAGGAGAGAGGCACACTTAAGCGCCCATACAGATTGTCACTTATTGCTATTATGTAGGAATCAAACCAACCAAAACTCACCAATTTTTATTGACAGAGCGCCAGCTGCCTGCAAAAAACAAGGTCCAAAGTAGCCCAAAAAATCAAATCAAAGTTGACTCCAATGAAAAAAAAAAAAAGAGGAAAAGAAAGGGAAAAGACGAAATAATGTAAAGCTTCAAGTGCCACAGGAAAAACAACCGAGAGAAAACGCAGTAGTCTGAAATGTTATTGAGCTTTTGCCTTCAGCAAAATTGCGACAATTGAAGTTGCGAACAAATTATAAACATTGAAGCATGAATATTATCTCATTGAGACAATAGTCCTAATAAAAGGGCTACAAATCCCTGCTTAATCTAAAATAAAGAGATTTGATGGATTTTTTGAAAGAAATTGAAAAAAAAAAAAACAATACATAGAGAGGGAAAGAAGGAGGGGATGTTTAAAGAGACGTGGGACGCAACATAAAAATAGCGCACAGAAAACACACCATTTCTTGAGAGAGAGGATTAACACCAGTTAGTTTGCATTGCGTGACAACTATTTTCTGAAGCTGATCGATCTGGCTGTGGAAGAGCTCCCTTTGCGAAACCAGAAATTTCTGGAACGACTCCACTGAATTCCCAATCTCTAGCTCTGAGAATTCGTCTTTGAAACCCTCCATCATTGAACACAATGGTTGAAGGTTCTTCGCCGCAATGTGTAGCAGAGTGATGCAGGGGATCGCATGTTAAGGGACTGGAATCCCCCTTAATTCACTCCGATTAGGACTAGTTAGGGTTTGATGCCACGGGCCTCCATCGATTAAACTCAACAACGCGAGCTGGGCAAGCGGGACGCATACCAACGTTACGTAGTACCTAATACTCCCTCGGTCCGTATAGAATTGGTTAAATTGTTAATTATTAATTATCAGTTATTAACTTTATATAAAAATATAATAAATTTTTTATTTTTATATTTTATGTTTATTTAAATTTACACTATATTTTCTCTCATAATTTAATAAATTTAAATAAAAATAATATTAAAAATATATAATTAATACTTCATAAGTATCTTATATTAAGAATGAACAATAATTATAATTATATATTATAAAATATAAGGTTTAACAAATCATATTAAATTATTGAATTTGTTTGTGTGCGTGTGTGTTTATACTCAGAAAATCTTTTTGGATATTTTTAATCTGGTAATTGTCGTAAGTCTTGCAAATTTTGAATAGTAAATAGGCGTGGATATATGAATGAGTGCCCCGTGACTTGCATGAAAAAAATTCCTTTTTAACAATATAATCAATCACGTGATGAGAAAAACGTAAGAAATTTGTCTTCAAAACAATATCACCAGCCTATGTAAAAAATAGGTCTAAAAATTTATCACTGGCAGGTGACGAGAGGCCCCTTTTACTTATTCCAGTTATGTTGTTAATTTACAAGGTTCTTTCTACCAGAAAAAAAATTTATAGGGTCCAAACATTTGGACTAGGCCTTACTTCGGATCTTGGTAAGCGTACGGGTCACCCTTTATTACATAAAGATATGTTCCTACCCATTCTTTAGAAGTTTTAGCATAGACTTTCGTTTTGAAAAAGCTCTTTTTTAAGTATGGTTGGTCAAATGGTCTTAATTAAATTCATTCTCTCATCCCTCCCCTCTTACTTCATGCAAACCATGCTTACCCCTAAGCATGTCCGCAATGAGATTGAGAAACATAGCAGGAATTTCTTTTGGACTAATCATGACAAGAAGAGGAAGATGCATCTAATTTCTTGAAATACCATCAAAGGGAACAAAATTGAGGGGGTCTTGGAATTAAAGACCTTGCGTTGCAAAATCAAGCCTTCATCCTTAAACTTTGTTGGTGAAATACTTGTGGCGAAAAAGAAGAACTTGGCTTCTCATATTTGGCATAGTATTTCTAAATTACAGGATACTTTTAGCAAAGTTTTGTGCCAGAAAATCAACAATAGCACAACTATAAAATTTTGGTGGGACTATTGGGTTCCTCCTCCTCAACTCCTTATTGATTGTATGACTACCAATGATCAATTCTTTAACCTTGAAGCTAAAGTTTGTGACTTCCTTCACCCTTTTGGCAGCTGGAACAAACAAAAATTGGAGAGATATCTCCCTCTGAATATAATTAACAAAACTATCTTTGTCAAACCTCAACTCAATCAGCATAATGATGTGTTATGGTGGTAGTCTACTAGCAATGGTAGGTTATCAGTTAGAACGGCCTATAAATTTATGGAATGCAATTGGTATGGACAATAGGATTTAGAGAAGCTTGTGGAAGTGGTTGATCCTAAAAAAATTAAAAATTTTCTATTGGCAGGCCTTACTTGAGAGACTTCCTAGCAATCTCTTAAGAGTGAAAAGAGGAATCACCTTAGACGCCTAATACCCCTTTGAATGTGAATGTGATTAGAGCATAATACATCCATTTTTTTCTCATATTAAGAGATTATGGGAGAGCAAAAATAATATGAAAGGATATCATAAATCTTGTTCATGCTGGCCATTTTTTCTCATGTAGCTTAGAGGAATGGATATGACGAAATGCTATGTATCAAAACAATGGTGTAAATTTCCAACACTAGCCTTAATAAAAGTTCTTGGAAATATATTCTGGCTTATTTAGACCAACAAATGCGACGATGTCTTTGAGAGGATAAAGTATAAGGAAGGTGACATTATTTATGCTTGTCAAAGGAGATCAGTGCAAGAGTGTGACTTCAAGCATCTCATAATGCAGGGATCTAATATGAAGGACTCTCCTTGTCACAATGGGCACCCCTTCCCCATACTATGAGTTAACGTTGATGCATCCTTTATAACAGTCCTCACCTCACCCCCGCCGGGGGTTTTTTGGATCAGGCCAACTTATATCACTGTAGTGGAAGTCAGTTTTCCCTAAGGTGGTACTTGGGTTATTCCTCACCCTACTAAAGAGGCCTTTTGAAACTTTTTCAAACTCGAACCTCCAACCTCTACCACCTTAAAAAAGTTGAGGCTAAGTCTAGTACCATTAAGTCAAGTTGTAATATCCAGAAAATTATTCTCTTAGTTAATTAAGCTAATGAAGGGTAAATTTATAAATTTAAATATAAATGGATTTGAGAATAGTTAGAAATGGTTATTGGGATTGGTTTTAGCTTTTGAATTAGATTCAGAGGTGGACTAGGTCTCTTGAACTCAAATTGTAGAGAAAAATTAAATTTTTAACCTACTGTGTGTTATGTTACAGCATAAAAATTTATGTTGCAGCATAATTTTCACACTCAACTTTTTAAAAAATGCAAAAACATTTGAAACAAGGTGAAATGGGTTTGAAACAGAGGGAGGACGACAAAGAGAGTTGATCCTCTACTAAGGCATCAACTCTTAGGCATTTTGGAGGATATTAGAGCTTGATTTCACCTATATATTTCTTTCTTTTCTCTTCTTCTTCTCTCTACATGTTTTGAAAGTGAGATTTGAAGTTGAAAGATGATAATTTTTAGACCTAAGACTATGGATCTGAATTCATTTGTCTAAATAAGACTAATAAGAGCTGTTCGAGTTATCGAAGCCTATATATAATGGTTTTATGTATCAATGAGAGTTAGCTCTTAATTATGGACAAAATTATGCCTTAAAGTGCCATAAACGGTGGTGCTTGAGGTAGATCGCTGCCATTAATGTTGATTAAGGATTGTGTTAGTGTTAGTTGGAGCTAATGAGAGCCAATAAACTTAATGTGGTGATAAAATTCAATAGTTGAGAGTTTTAGGTTATTAAATTGTTAAAATTTGAGAGATGAAAGTTAGCAATTTGTGACATTGATGATGATTTTGGGTTATTGGATTATATATTGGTGATTATTTAAGTTGTTAAGAGTTAAATAAAATTAATGGGAGTTAAGGAACTCATGTGAGGTTGATTTTATAGTTGAGAAATTTGGTTATTAAAATATGAAATTAGATATTGAAAGTAGTGATTTTAATGATTAATAGTAATGGGTGTTTATGTAATTGTAAATTAACCTCATGAAGCACTGATGAGCTTGAATTTAGCTCAGAAAGCAAGTTGTGATTGAAGGATAACCTTTAACTTCTTAAGGTTTAAGATAACAAAAAAAATCTAATTTATACAGTTAAATATTAATGGATTCTTATTGAGATGGATGATTTGAAACATGCTTGCTATTTTAAACTCTTGATGCAAAATTGGCATATTTGAAAATGTGATATTGTTGAAGTGTTATGTTCACTTACATTAGAAAAATAATGATGATTGTAATTATATGAGTATGTACTATTTGTTATGTGGTATTTGATATGTGGAGTAGATTATGTGAGTATGTAAATCCATGTTATGTGATTGACAATTGAGATGTATGTGGTATATGTGCATAACATGATTAGTGGTAGGAGTTCGCCTAAGGAGAGGAGTATATTAGTAAATTCACGTGATTGGCAATGACTATTAAAATCGAGAACTTGCCTTGTCATCAATTATTGATCGGGAAATAGCCCTTGTCCCATGGTTGATTAGGAATTATCCCACTTGTTCTATAAGGGACTCGAACTTAATTAATCTCCACTAATTCACGAGGAGGCTAGATTAGGGATACGACACCTTATGGTTATTAGTATTAGGGAAAACTGAATTACACAAGTGAGTAAGCTGACCTTAGCTCGGTAGGTCCTTACAAGAGTAAGGTTGGGTTAGTCCGTGAAGGGTGTAGCCATCGAATAGCTACCGGTTTCATGTTGGAAGTAATCAGGAAGGTATAAGATTGGCATATGATCACGCATTTAGTCCTGATCACATGGTTATTAGTATTGTGGTCCAGTGCAGTTAGGGGTGCATGGTTGGTATTATTGTGACTCCAGGTTGTACATTATTTGTATATATATATGATTATATGTTTGAAGCCCGGTCACATGATTATTATTATTGTGGTAAAGGTTTTATGTTGTCATACATGCTTTATATATATGTTTATTGACAATTGCATCCGTTTTTAATTGATATACAATTGTATAGATTATGTGAAACTTGGTTACTGAATGGTTGTATTCATTCCTCTATTTTACATTTTACAGTTTCGAGCAGGACAAAGGGAAAGTACCAGAGTCTTAGAAACTCGATTGCTTACTATAGGCTTCTCGTAATTTTAGTTGCATATGTGTAATTAATTGATATTGCTAACTAGGATGACCATATATGTTATTACTTATACTTTTAGATGTTAAGTGTTGAAAGATGTATTTTAAGCTTAGTGCGTGTTGTATCTTTATAGTTGAGATATATGAGCAAGGTCAAAATACTAGTACAAGTATAAATTTGACTGTATGTATAGTTGTATTGGATTATATTGAGTTTGAAGTCAAAATACCTCCCCTTGTTATTTCTTAAATTAATTAGTTGAGGGTTAAAATTTTAAAATATGTGATATCTGGTTATTGTGGTATGTTACATAGATTGTCCTAAGTCTATTGAGTGTGTTCTAAGGGTTAGTGTGGGTTTTTGGAGCTTGAATTGAGTTTTGAATACTCTAGTTATGTTTTAAAAACATAAATGAGTAAGTTTACATTTTGGTGTTCAACTTTTGATTGAGAAATGATTTGATTGTGAAACCAGTATCATTAGCTAGAGCTCGGATAAAGCTTTTTGTAGATACCTAAATCACCTCAATCGGACGTTAAATGAAGATTTAGTGTGTATTGAAAGTTCGGCTAGAAAATCTGCCATGATAGTATTGTTGCTGTCATGGATTCTGCTATTTATGTCGCAGCATAAAATTTTATGCTGCAACATAATTGTGGTAGAATTAGTTGTTTTGCTATTTTGACCCTAGTT